CACATTTAGAAATCAGGCGGTGTGTAAACTCCTGAAACTTTTGCATCTGAGTCTCAGACTCGTTCTGCTGAGTTTGCTGTTAAACAGATGAGACTCATCCAGAGAAGAGATCGTTATGTGGCACAGAGCAGACAGGAACACAAAAACCACCAAAGACACTGTGCTGAAGTTTAAGGTCGGCAGAAACAGGAAGCTATTAGAGGCACAGACCAAAACACCCACATGTGACTGCGAGACCTTCACTGACTGATGGAAGCAGACGCCGCCGCTTCAGCTCATGCAGCACGTCAGACACTTCACGCTGGAGAGATCCTCGATGTAAACATGACTGACCCGAAGACACGAGAAAGGTCGGCTCCAGGACGGCGTCTGGATGGGAACCCAGGCAGCGCAGCAGCTGGACGGCTTTCAGGAAACATTCGCAATTTATGTGTTTTAATTCTTTATAAACAAGCGTTTTTTACAATGTACAACTTCTGGTTTCTGTGAGGTGGAGCATTAAATAACACGTCAGATCTACTGGGAACAATGGAGGCCGGAGATCCTCTCTGAAGTCTCTTTTCTCATTGCTCAACCTGAACAACATCACATGATCAAAGCTTCACTCATCATGTTTCTTTTCTTCTCCAGGTCGCAAACATGACGGAGAGTCCTGCAAACGCGACATTCGGTGACTATGACAACGGTACTGAGACTTATATCGATGACGACGGCTTCTGCGTCATGGATCCTGACGCCACTGAGGTCATCACCCAGACTTTGATCCACTCCATCATCTGCGGCTTCGGCCTGATCGGCAACGTCCTGGTGATGGTGACTTACATCTTCTACAAGAGAACCAAGACCATGACGGACGTCTACCTCTTCAACATGGCCGTGGCCGACCTTATCTTCGTGGCTACGCTTCCGTTCGTCATATACAACGAGCAGCACGATTGGTCGATGGGCAAGGCGGCCTGTAAGGTGCTCCGGTCGTCCTACAGCATTAACCTCTACAGCGGCATGCTGCTGCTCGCCTGCATCAGCTGCGATCGGTACATCGCGATCGTTCGGGCGACGCGCTCCTTTGGGGCGCGCTCCCGTGCCCTCGTCTACAGCCGCCTGATCTGCTCGGCGGTTTGGGTGTTTGCAGTGGCGTTAACTCTCCCCACGCTCATCTACACCAAACCCTCTCAAGATAACTCCCCGGGGTCTGACCGCGTCACCGTGATGTGTCAGATGTCTTTCAACGAGACTGAAACTGCGGCGCTCGTGAAGCTGCTGGTACCCAGCCTCCAGATGGCCGTTGGCTTCCTGCTGCCGCTGTGCGTGATGGCGTTCTGCTACTCCTGCATCATCTGCACGCTGCTCAGGACGCAGAGCAACCAGCGGCACAAGGCCGTCCGGGTGGTGTTGGCGGTCGTCGTGGTCTTCATC